ACACGGTTACCTCTGATAGCGTAGTGGTGCTCCTGGTTATTCGGACCCATGTTGAATGTGCAAACTCCTGCAATATGCTTCATTGAATGGCAGTTGCCAGCTGTCAGACCATTCAACTACTGAGTCGATATCCTGCTGGAGGTCCTGAATCTGGGATGGCTTGGATACACTGCGAAAGACGAAGAAGCAGAAAATAAAGATATTATCGAACAACATGTCCAAATAGTTTGCTTACTCACCACATCATCTCTGTAGGCTGCTGCAACTTGATTCTCTTGGTCCTTGGATTTCATGCAGTGGCGAATGTTTATAGTGGAGTTCTGGCGGTCATGGCTAGCGAGCACCAAAATGCCCCACATTTCCATCTCTCATTAATGTTCATAACCATATCACGGTTCAATAACCCAATCAAGGGTGGAACTTTGTGCGGAGCTGGGAGGGCCCGGGCGCAGCAAATCCGCCGCCACCTAGCAATGACCTTGACCTCCGCGGTCTGTTGCGGCTCCAGAGCCAAGCCGGCGTCGAATTTGGAGAGCTCGGGCCCTCCCAGCTTGAGCTCGACGCAAAGTTCCATCTATGACCCCAATCAAATAAATAATGTTACGCATCAGCGCTCTCTACTATGCTATGGGTAAAACGTATGCAAGTGCAACTGAGTTCAACAGCTGAACATAACAAATGTCACATTATGGGATGTAGGAGACATCTAGCGGTGAAACTACCAACCTCTAGTTGTCGTAAGTGCTGCCACCTATGACCCGAAACGTTGACCCCTGAATCCACTAGCTGCACATAACACAGGCACCTAGCCTTACGGAAAGACTCCGCCGCTAGATGTCACTAGTGGTATACCTCACTGGCTTTTGTATGTTATGGGCAGCTAGTGGAAAGCGGGTTTGGCCGTTTGGAGAATAGGTGGCGCTGTTTGCATGAAATTGAGGTTTCAACTACCTTCGATAGGTGTCTCTACCTATTTTGCCACCCTATCAACTCTAACAAATACCTACCTACCTGCAACGTGTTACGTGAAGGCACGAATCAGCGGTAATCGGAAGTTCAATGCAATCATTTATTTATCCAGGTATTATCAGTACCTATCATTCGTCTCCACCTTTTTCCAATCGGCACGCAAAAACACATCATTAACCACGTCCATGGTAGCCCCGGATTCGACTAGAGATATCGACACCTATCGGCAGTGTTCGGCACCTGAGGTTCATGCAAACAGCGCCACCTATGCTCCGAACGGCCGAGCCCGATTTCCACTAGCTGCCCATAACACAGACCACAGCCGGCGCGGTATACCACTAGTGACATCTAGCGGCGGCATCTCTTTTTTGGTTTGGTGCCTGTGTTATGTGCAGCTAGTGGATTCGAGGTTCGGCGTTCCTGGTCATAGGTGGCAGCACTTACGACAATTAGAGGTTCACAATTTTACCGCTAGATGTCTCTGTCACCCTCAAATGATGGTGCCTTGTTCAAACGTGTCACGCGACATTTGTTATTTTCAGCTGTTGAATTCTAAATTACATACATTTTTAGCCATGCCCTAGTGCGTCGGAGATTTTGTCTGTCCGTATTATTCAATTGAAGTTCCAAATGTTCACGATAAATGGGAATGACGTTCGGGTTTGCATTATTCCCATCTAGCCTTGACTTGACCGTCCAAACTACTGATACCTACTATGCCTACTCATTTATCTGCCAATTCTTTGATAATAACGAGATAAATAATACATGACTTCCGATTACCGCTGAATCGCCATAAAACGTTGCAGCCATATATTAGCAAATTAGGTGAACGAATTTCGGTAAAATTGCGAATGAATGAGATCGATCACTCCTAGTTTTCCAACAACCGACATCCAGTGCAATGTGCATCTCGCAGTCACCCGGTGTAGCCCGCCGTGCAGAATTCTCAAATCACGCCTAATGCTTCTGTAATTAAATCCTCCTCGATAGTCTACAAAAAAAACATCATATAATACCGTTTCTGTACAGTATATTGCACAGCAGAACACTGGCTGACCACACAGTCACACACAGACACACAGACCACAATCAGCCCCTCTCTCAGTGATGTCGGCGTGTAGCATCGTGCTGTGTTGTACATGGCGGCACAGTGCATTGGAAAAACGCACGGGCACGGGCTAAAACAGCGACAGCTCCTCCGTACGGCCACTAAAAGCGGATGGGTGGCAAGGAAATCAGTCGTACAAAAATACATTTCGTGGGAAGTAAAATATAACTCTTAGAAGCATTTACACCGTTTTTATCTGGGTTTTAAGCACCAATTTTCTATCAAAAGTACACATTCTCTTTGTTGCTATTCAGCTGAAGTGGCTAAGCAGCAATAACAGCTGTGCGTTTTCGAGGATTTCTAGACAAAAAAGTATTGTCGCTTGAAATGCAAGCAACAGTAGCCACCGTTTCTGCCCTTACTGTTATCTAGAAGCAGCTAGCGAAGTCTCACAAGAGATAGATAGCGAGGCCCAGGCTCGCTGAATTTGAAACATCGACTTCACATAGGTGTCTGTGAGCTGGGGACGCTCAAATCACCATCCAAAAGAAGGTACAGCGCGCCAGTTGTCTCGACTTCACCTATGACGTCGATGATACCTATCGATGACGTCATCCGTGTCGACCCAAGTCCTTTAGCCAGGAATCAGGCTCTCGCCCAGAATTCCACAATCGCTCCCTCCATATCCGTTATATCCCCATATCCGCCAACCCAGACCGGTGACAGCCCGTTCACACATATCACAGCTCGATTTCAATCACTGCTACACGGAGCGCTGACTCGTAGCGCCACCTATACAGCATCAGCGGACATACAGCGCCATCTGTACAATCTTTGAGAACATACACAGCTACTTTTACACTATCTGCCGACAATTAGCGCCATCTGTACAGTTACAAAGGACAGCTAGCGCCACCAACAACCATGTAGCCTCATCACTTCACACTGGTTTCCGGATGAAGGCGCCTATTTTACAGCACGATCAACATCAACACAACATTCATTTCTTATTGAACCAATGTGGATCAGGGTTCTAAATACATTGTTTCATTCGCTACTGAGGGCACCACAGCAATGCACGGTCAAAGCGCACCCTCACGTAAAGCGAATTGATTGGACATATAGGTACATTATACATACCTCTACAGAACCGGATCATAACATGCGTTCGTCTCAAATACTCAAATCATCCGCATTCAAATACTAGGGGACGGAAAGCTCCAAAAAGAGGACTGACCAATGGCCATTCATGGACGAATTCTCCTTTGCTCAAAGCCAGGAATCCTATACTAACGTCAACGTGCAAATATAAAGTCGCTGACTAACATGACAAATGCTACTCAAGTTTTTCGCACACAATTTCGATTCACACTCGTACCCAAATCATTCCCATCGACACAATTTCAACTCTCACACTCCCCCAAAGTGCTCACAGTTTACTAAGCTCACAGCTCACAAAGCTTACACCACCGACCAAACCTCACAACTCAACATTAACCCGGCAGTTGCTGGGGTATTTCGCCACCCACCGTTTGCTGGGGGGGGGGGGGGCGTTAAACGCCCCCAGCCGATAACTCGAGAACCAATAGGCGCAGCGAAACGCACGAGGCGGCAAACGAAAGAACGCGACGAGACGCTTCAGATGAGTACTTTAAAGTTGAATTTTGAGGTCACAGGTCGGGTCAAGGTCAGGTCAAACACCTGAAATCGGGCTTTCAGTAGCATGGACTTCAGGACTTCGCAATGGGCGCCTCGCGTCATAAACTCTGTCAAAACGGTGCACAATCCATCATATAAGGCCTACAAGAGTGTCAGCTCCATGTAGGGGTCAGTCAAGCATAGGTCAGGGTCAAGGTCAGGTCAAACGGGTAGGCACATATCACCGAAAATCAAAACTGATATTCGCAGCCTGTGACACATGTTTTATGGGTAATTTGGGGCGTAGAACACGATGGTGACATTCATTTTATCATATGTGTACGCGTTTGGCTCAAAAAATTAAATTTAAGAAATGCATGTATCATGGTCGTGAGGTAGTCACGAGAAATTGCCAAGATTCAGTTCAAGATTTTGGAAAATGCGGAGCAAAAATCAATAATCGAAGATAGCCATTTGATTGTTTATGGTATTGGCAGTTTAATGGCGTTTACGGCACGTCTGTATGTCTATTCTGTGATTTTATATGATTTTTTGAACATATGCCGTTTTTGGTCGAAAACTCAGAAATCATGACGTCACTAAAACCTCGATATTTCAAAAATTTTCCGACCGATTTTTTTGAAACTTTGTCACAATAAACTTCAATCAATTCCCTACAGGTACCCAAAATTTGGCGCGCCTGCGGCGCGCCGTTTTTATGCCATGGGCCGGCGAAAAAAGTGGGGGCGTTTAACGCCCCCCCCCCAGCAACTCGCGGGTTAACAAAGACTAGATAGCATGACTATAGCGGCAGGCGGCAACACTCGGCCCCGGCCGCTCGGCCCGTACTACTAACCACCCAGTGGCTGGACACATTAGGACCTCATCAGCCCCCACAGAGTGCGCCAGACACTCCCTCAGTAAACACAATGGACGGGCGAACACAGTGCACCATTGAAAATAACGTGTCGTGTTGAAAATATACGCTCTCTCGCTCTCTTTAGTTGTGTGGCAAGGTGTGGACTTGGTTTGCTTGTGACCAACAGGTTGAGTGGGAATAGCTCTCTGTTAGCTGTATGTTCATTTAAGTATGTGCAATCAAAACCATCACTGTTAACCGTAGTTTGTTTGTGTGATTCGAAATCACGACCATTCCGACACGACAATTTTCCGTGTCAAACGCCAAGAGGAAACAGTCTCTCTTAGCTTCACAAGTCACAACCCTATTGTTTCATCGCTTGACTGACTTCCCCTGCTTCTTCTTCTTTTCTTCTTTCCACTATCACTTTCCCTCACTCTTCAAAACCCACTGGAGGGGTCAGTCGTCCCTCTTTTACCACCTCTACACGGATACCTCCATGAGCCCGCACTGTTCATCACACGTCTCCCGGGGCGGATTATCCGAGCCGCTGCCCGAATCCTCGCCCTCCTCCGGCTCAGAGTCCGGCAACAGAAGGGAGGAGTAGTTGAGTGGTAAATCACGAGCGCCACCATCCTCCGTGTCTGAGCCGTGAGCTAGTAGAGAAGAGTACGTCAGACGCTCCGGCTTGCGAGCTGATTGGTCGACGACGCCGTAGCGCAGCGGTGATTGGTTGTTGGAGGCGGAGCGCAGTGGTGATTGGTTGTTGGAGGCTGTACGGAGCGGTGATTGGTTGTTGCGCGCCGGCTCGGCCGCTGGTTGGCTGCGCGGCGGCAAGTAGGAGGAGCTCAGCAGGTGCAGGTTACCGTAGTCGATCGGACGGTCCAGGTCAAGGTCATCTGCGAAATGCAGAGTCAAGGTCATCTAGGAAATACCGAGTCAAGGTAATCAGGGAAATACAGAGTCAAGGTCATCTGGGAAAAACAAAGGGAAAGGTCATCTGTTAACTTCGCATAGCAAGCCAATTTTGCTGCGAGAGCATGGGTAGCAGGAAACCGATCTTCATGAAATCATCTTCATTACAGTTACGTTTTTATATTTAAAGTTTAACCTCAATTCAATTTCGCATTCTTCTTTACATTATCTCAAAGTCAATGTCTCCATTGACGTACTACTTTTCGACTTCCGTTTCGTCATGACAAAGTACTCAAACGTTTAGCAGATCCACGTATCAATTGAGAACCCAAGTCGTCCATCAGTCAAAAGCTCCAAATACTCAGATGAGAGCCCACCTCCATCGCTCAGCAGGTCAAAGTATTCTCTGTTGAGAACCAGCGGCGTGCTAAGGTCCAGATACTCTGACCCCGACTGGAGCATCCTGTCGAACCACTGACTCAGCTCGGAGAACGTGGGTCTGGAGGAGGGCTGCTCCTGCCAACACTGACGCATTATGCTGTACCTGTGGAGTGGAGGGGGGGGGGGGTGTCAGAAGGGAGGGTAACGGGAGAGACTAAAGAGGCAGGCACAGGTGGTATGGGAGCTTTGGGTGAGAAACGTGGAGCTATGATATTTGAGGCTTGAGACCTTAATAGATGACCTCAATAAAGCCTTTGTGACCCAGAGCTGGCAACTGGGCGGCACATACGGTATAAATACATTGACAATCTTTCACGCAGTCAGACAATGGCTCATCGTCAGGCACGGGAAACTCAGGCATAGTCGGGTGATCCAATATAAAATAGGTCACTGAATGTAGAGAGACACACTTCGCCGAGCTTGCACAATGTCGAAAACCTCTCCTCAACACACTCAGCAAGCGACCAAATTGACGACGGTTTGCACTGGAACTATGTATTGGTACAGGGAACAGGTCAGGATACAACAAAGAACCGTTCAATCATCTTACCAGACGGTTGACGGAACATAAATCGCACTATATCGCCTACGGCGTGGTAACAACTGACAGCTCGCTAATCGAATTGTGCTCATTCAAGATGTTTCCGAGGTGTAACCAGCAAAAACGCAGCGACTTCCAGTAATCAGCAACAATTAGCAGCAATCATTGATCGCACGAGAGCTACAGGCTTCTGGTCAGACACGTGCTAGCCAGATTTTCTTTAAAAAATACCTATCCACATCAGCGTCTAAGAAAGATGAGATAACTAAATCAATCGCCTTAGCTGCCAGAAAGCTGGGAGTACCAAATCCCTTACCATAAAAGCAGTCGCATTATATAAACGTCTATAGCCTGAATCGCACAGCAACATTGAAAGCCACCCCGCCACTCAGGCTTATTATACGAACAATGCCCGTGGCAGAATCATTATCCCTTATTGGGGTGGGGGGTGGGGGGTCAGCCCAGCGACGTCCCAAGCAGAGGTGGAGATCTCGGGGGGGGGGGGGGGGGGTCGGGGGGGGGGGGGGTCGGAGGGGGGTCAGGATTCCTCTGAAAACGAATTACTGCTATGCAAGTCAATGGTACTGCATCCAGCCCGCCTCCATCTGCCCGGCCTGGACCCTCCTCCCCGAAATTTTGACAGATCTCCACCCCTGGTCCAAAGCTGTGCTGTGTCTCAGAATAAGTCAGTGTGTTCTTTCAGATAAATAGACGTGAGACCAAGCAGTCGCCAGGCTTCTTTGGCATCGATCCTGAGGAGCTGCTACCTGAATGGCAGCATTTTTTGGGGAAAAGTTTATTGCTTGTATGATTCTAAGCTTGTAGCTTATAGCTTATTCAAGCTTGTAGCTGCTTATAAGCTTGTAGCTTATTCAAGTAACATACTTAAAAGATTTGGGACCAATTACTATTTTAATATACAAAAGGAAATTATGACACCATTATGGAAGCTGGAAGATAAACTAAACCCAATGCAACATTCAGCGAAAGGAAGCTACGTTACGCTCGGGTCCCAAACCCGACATACTAAACAAACACTCATCCTAGGCGGCTTCCCTGATACCCCTGAAGTCACTTCCTATCCAGCGACATAAGGGCACCCTCAAGTCCCTACCAGAAGGTCAGCTACTGGACTCACATGTCCTGGGTGCAGTTGGCCGGCCGGTCCATCCTGTACCCGGACTTCAGGAGGTGGCAGAGACGCTCCGGGGTTACACCCGGGTACGGGTTGGAGCCTGGAACAGGGTACATAATGTTATGATATTTTATCCTGTTCCCCGACTTCAGCAGGTGACATCATTGCTCCGGGGTTATCCCGGGGTACGGGTTAAAGCCAGAAACAGCGCACATATGTAATGGTATAGTGAGACACAGTGCGGCATCACTTTGCCGGGTACGGGTTAGAGCTGGAAATACCTACACAGTGGTAAAGTCTCACCGCAGGGTACGGGTCAGAGTCTGTAACAGGGCACATAGCGGTATATAGTGAGACACAGCCGCTCCTGGGTACGGATTAGAGCCTAAAATACCGAGCACACGATAGTATCGTGAGACTGACACTCAAGGCTAGCGCTGGGGTGTAATGCTGAAATGTTGGAATGGGAGAGAGGCTACTTAATACTTATCATCACATTTGCATATTTTGAGATAAATGTGAATTAAAACGGATCATTATCGACCCTTATCCGCTTTAACGCTAATCTACTGAAATGTTACACGGTGTGGCCAGTCATCTTACCAAGCAAATTGACCAATCTTACTCAGAGTGATCAGCCGTCTTACCGAGTGTGATGAGTTCCCAGAGGAGCACTCCGAAACTCCAGACGTCCGACTTTGAGGTGTAGACGTGATCCTCCAGAGACTCGATGGCCATCCACTTTACCGGAACTGGAAAAACGCCAAACGATGAGTCAGAGATAGGAAAACGACGAAACTAGGAGTGTGATAAGACCGAACTTATCCCCAAACTGCCTGGGGCGTAGAGTGCTGACACCGTTCCAGCGTTGCTGAGCGCAGCTGAACATGTTCCAGGAACAGTCGATAATCCATCTCACATTTCGACTCACGGAGTTTGCCAATGCGGTTACGCAAATGGGATATAATGGAAGACGACAACTATTTATTTCAAAATATAACAAATTATCTGAAGTATTTCTAAGAGTTTATTTTCGACCTGTTCTACCTATGTATAATTGAGGTTGAAATATTTATGTCCTATTCTATAGCATGCTTAGCTTTTCTATAGCTTAGTTTGACTCGCTGGGAGACCGTTCGCTGAGATATCTCTTAGAATTCATCACGCTTGCATTGCAGAATATGTCACGTAACAGACAATGACAGACAGACATTGGGAGTCGACTGACAAATGGCCATAGTAATTAATCTGTTAGCACAAAGAAGCATTTATGATTTATGTCAAGATAAATGTGCAACGGAAGCCCTTATACCTATCCGTCCAGTTCTCACAAATGTTTACATTTATATGGATAAATGGGTGTTCTACATTACATACTAAGGACGGCAGTCTTTCTTATCGTTCAACTCAATCGACACAGCACTATGTTCAATAACCCAATAAGATTTCGAACTCTATGACGGTTAAGCGTGACAGCTTTCAAGAAAATAAACCTTTTTTATCCCCGAATCTTATCTTATCACATATCTAATTTGATATCTTATCTCATGTGCTATCTTATATAATACAAAATCGTCAAAAGACCCGCCAGATCCTGGCATTGTCCGGACGCCCGATGCTGAGACAGCTCGCCCGGTTCAGTTCCGGCGACAGCTCGGAGCCGGCAGGGCTGCCGCAGCTCCCAGCTGAGGATATTTCGGGCTGCAGCCGCCGTGGCGTCATGATGACGTCATCACGCGGCTGTCGGCGAGCTCCTCCATTGAGCCCCGGCCGCCATTGATGGCTCCACGTGAACTCGGCGTTCAGTGCGCGGAGGTGTGAATTGGAGTTTAAGAGCTCTGCGGAGCGGTGGCCGTAAAACGCTCATTTCACGTGCGGGGAGTGATGAGGACGAATGGAATGCATGGAGGACTTTGCGGCTAGATAAAATAAAACCGAAAGCCGATAAGTGCTGAACTTTGGTCATTCGGAAACCGAAAAAAGGGCTATTCGCAGCTGCCGAACATTTTTCAGCTTATCAACTTAGCTCGTAATTTTGACCATACCATAAATGGTATCAGATGGAATCTACAAACAAAATCAATTGTGTCTGAAAATCAAACGGTTGCATGATCTGATAACCTAAAACAGCTTGTTTCCTCATGAAATGAAAAAAACTTTGTCTTGTCTTGTCTTGAAATGAAAAAAACCTTGTCTTGTCGTCAAAGTTACGACATGGTTGTAATTGCAAATATCATCCTTTTCCTTGCAAAGTTACATAAGACGTTCTGCCGAAGCCAAATCTTAGGGATATCGTTCAAAGTCCCCTTAAACCGAAGGTGGGTGGGAGTAGTAACTACCACCATCTCACAAAGTGCGCACTCATTCATCCTTTCTCCAAACCTTTTCTGCGTCGCAGCTCAATTCCGCCCACCTATCTCTAATAACTTTCCAGCCGATTTCACGGAACATCACGCCTCTTATCACCTTGGGCACTTCCGCTAAATGGGATTACAGACAGCGCCAGGACAAACCTGAATGAGACCTCTTTTGCGGAACACCGCCACTGCCACCGCTATCTGAGAACACGGCCACGCGGTGCTCTCGGAGAATCGACGCCGAGCGCCGCGCGTCTGAGCACCGCGCCGATCCATCGAAATCTCTGCCAGTCGCCGCGCCGGCAGCTGCTGCGATCAGCTCACGTGCGGTGGAGGCGGCGGTGGTGGAGTGGGGGGGGGGGGAGGGGGTCTCTGCGCTGCTGCAATCGTCAGGTTTCTGGTCGGCGTGGACTGAGCTCGGACAGGTACAGTCGGAAGTGCGTCTCGAGCTTGAGATATGGGATTGGGGGGTTATCGCAAGGTAGCAGCTACGCTGCGGTTGGTTGTGGTGAAGGTAATTTAAGTGACGGCGGCGCTGGCAAAACGAGCGTCAGAGTCTCGGTGTCAGTATCTTGTGTCAATGACAAGGTCGGTGTCACTGTTTGTGTCAATGTCAGTGTTAGTGACAAGGTCTGTGTCAAAATATGTGTCAATGTCGTTGCCCGTCTGGATCACAGTGTCAGAAATGATGCCGGTCTCAGTTTCAAACTCAGCTACATTTTCTGAACTGGCCTGAACAGCGCCTTCGTCGCATTTGATCCCGTCATGCAACACCCATTCGAACTCAGCCTTTAGCCCCGCTCCGCATATTGAGACCTCCCGGGATACGGGAACTACCATCGCCACAAGACACGAATCCAGGGCCTGGGGGCGGCTTGAGGGCCAGGGAGAACAATCTAAAGGCCGCCCCACACTGGACCTCGCATGCGGGTTGCGAGTTTGGGGGTTTTGAGTTTGCGGACATAATGCTAATTCATAGAGTGATTAGACCGTTCCCTTATAGTAATTTCATCAATGCAGTGAAGCCGGTACACGTTCAGAAAATTACATGTAGTCGCAATACCAGCGCAACGAACCAAAATTCGACTCCAACGAAAAACCCTCAAAACTCGCAGAACTCGCAGACCTCGCAGTTGACTCAAAATCAACTTTTGGAATGCGATGCAAGGTCGCTCGCAAGCTAACTGCAGACTCGGTTGTTAGATGGTATAGTGTGGGTCACTCAACTTAGATTGTCTTAGGTATTTGATTTTGAAGAAACCCGAAAACCCAAAAACTCGCAACCCGCATGCGAGATACAGTGTGGGGCGGCCTTAAGAACCGGAATCAAGGGGCGAGGGTGACCGATTGGTCAAAGGTCACCGATTGTCTCTCGCCGCTAAAATGGCGGCCGCGGTGCAGATCCCATCAGGCTCGTTACGGTAGGCGCTGTGAAGCTCTCAGAATCCGCTCGCTGCTTGTCCCCAGAGTCCCGGTCCGGGAAAGAGCATGTCTAGACTCCGACATTACCCCAGACGTGACGGAGCTGGGCTGAAAATTCACTCCGAGTAAGACAGCACCGTAATCCGCGTTTTGTCAATGTGGAACGTCTCACATTTTATCTTACTATCAGCCGACGCCGGATGAGTGTCATTATTTACTGTGATAATTAAACCAGATCGCTGATAATTAAACCGGTGTGAGCCAGTTTCCTGTGTGTTTCCACCACATCGGTTCAAATCAAGATCGGATCTCTAAATCGGGCCTCCGAAATACATCGGGTTTCCGTGCGGCCTCGTAGGCGGGAACAAACGAGACAGCAGAACAGCATCTTCATTGCAACATAACCATCGCAACCATTGCTGAGCTCCTCAACAAGGTGCGACTAAGCGGTACTTATGTCGCAGCCACACAACCACTCGAAACACGTCCGCTCTTATATTGCCGCCAGATGACGTCACTGGAGTTTAGTGACGTAACTGGGGGAGCGGCGGAAGCAGTAGGCGGGCGCAGTCGCCTCCACTGAAGCCGAGAAGAAGCCTGTTTGGACGCGAATGAAATCACCTACTGGTCGCGACATTTGACCTCACCGGCTCGAGGGACCGAGGGCGGAAGGCGGGGGTGATGGGAGCCATTTGTGCAGTCGGCCAGTCGCGTTCAGTTGCTGGACGGCAGAAATGTCTACTTTTCCTGGTAAGGAAACAAGAGCAATTAGAGCTAGATATAACAGAGCAGCGCAATTATGGGCGTCATGAATAACGTTATTTGTTAATATGGTTCGTTATTGGCATTCATAAATCGCCGACAAACCTGGGAAAACTTTTTAACTTGACGAGTTTAACACACCCATCATTATTCGTTGTCATTAAATAAAATTCATTTTGGTGATTGACCTCTAAAGCAATTTCGTGATATGCCCAAGGCCCTCACTTACTTATAAAAGGTGATATGCCTTCCTATTTTTGTCCTTTACTTTGATGATTTTATATCAGCTCGTTCGTAAGCTAAAAGCAGGGCACCTTCCTATAGGTCAAGGATACCGCCAAACGCCAAAGTACTCTCGTAGCAGTGCGCTATTTTACCGGCCGGCTCTCGCCTATAAGCCTGGATCTAAATCAATGAACTATAAAAAGCCCCTTGTGCTGCAGTAAATGCTCTCACAGCCTGAGCCCCGTGGCAGAGTTGAAATACATCAGGTTACCGTACACCGAGTGCGATATTGCTATCACAGGACATATTTCATTCACTATCCTGTTATAGTTTCTATGACTTTAAGTAGTAAACAATAACAACTCATACTTCTGGCAACATCAAACTATAAAAAATGCAAGGCATTGATAGCATAAAGTTGTAACTTGTAACGTTGGTCAAATAAAGAACAGGGGCCGTATTCACGTCGATCACTTTCATAAGAATTATCTTACGTTTGACCTACTTCTTAAGAAATTTTTTTTATTCACGTGAACTCTGTCGATAAAAACTTAAGAAGTGTCGACGTGAATACCAAATTATACTTACGAAAGAAAATCGACTTACGAAGTCGACGTGAATACGGCCCCAGGTCAAAGTACGGGAAACGAATATGAAATAGGGACTTCGACTGCCCTTCCTTCAAAGTAGGAAATAAGGGCGGCCAGAGTCTTTTCCCGTATACTCCAACTCACCGCGTCCCTTGCTGGTCTTCTGATAGAGGCTGCCCTCGTAGATGTCTCGTGTGAGACCAAAGTCGGAGATCTTGCAGACCTTGCCCTCCGCCAGGAGCACATTACGGGCCGCCAGGTCACGGTGAACCAGCTGATGGTGAGAAAATGGGGAGGGGTGAGACGAGGGGGAAGACGTGAGAGAGTAAGAAAGGTGACAGGGTTGACAAATGTAACAAGTTTGCGAACTGTGAGAAGGGAGAAAAGTGAGAGAGCAGTGAGTAAGAAAGGCGAGAAAAGCGTTAGAAAGAGGGAAAGAGGAATGAAAAGGGAAATGGGAGGAAGAGAAGTGGAGGGATAAAAAATGAATGACGAATGAGGGCAAAAACTAGGCAAAACACCGGAGAGAAAGACGAGCTGTACTGAAAACGAAGGAGAAAAAGGCATAGGGAGGAAGTGCGAGGGGAAAAATAGAGAAAACGCGATTAAAAAGCATACTTCGTCGATTATAACCAAATCAAACTCATCAGCCCGTATTCCCCAGCGAACTATGCAGCTATAATTATAGTTAGCAGCTCGCGAGTCCACTGCACACGTGGCGACAATATTACATGAAGCTTCACTGCCAAAGTTACCGGCAACCACTTTCCTAGCTCGTTAGAAGTACAAAATTTGGCTAATTGCTTGATCACTTTAATTATGCTAAAGTAGGAATGCCCGTCAATAGTTTTTCTGGCTAATTTGGCTTTCGGCGTGGCAGGCTAAATGTAAATCACAAACTCACAAACGGCAAGGTTAGACTGCTGATGTTACGCAAATCATCTGCTATGATATTTTCTACTGTTTGACTACCTACAGTATTGTATTGTATTGTATTGTATTACCTTCATGGACAATCCACGCGGGGCGTGGCGATTACAGTCCAGAGTCTGAGTCGGGCACAAACAAAAACATGCGGGGACAAGAAACACAGGCATACAGATTCAATCGCTGGACATTCGCTCTCTCTCTATATACAAACGGACGATTCAAGACAGCACGCCGCACACGGATGTCGCACCTCCTTCCCCTGACACGGGTCATCGTCGGGCGGTCGCCATCGCCGGACAGACTGCAGCCTTGGCCGCACGGGCGAATTGGGCGGGGCGCTGTTCGATGACACCGGGAGGCAGACTGTTGAGTAGCGCCGCGGCCCGGTAGCCGAATCGTCGCTTGCCAGTCTCGAGCCGCGAGCGTGGAAGGTGGAAGAGGTGGTCCTGCCGAGTGGATCTCTCTCGCGCGTCACTGTTATTCGTAAAGATGGCAGCTAGTGCTTCGGGCTCGCCGTTGCTTATTATTTTCTGCGCAGTTACCATGGTTTTAACATCGGCCATAGCTTTCGGAGGCATCCATCCGAGTGAATCGCGGAGGCCAGAGACGTGATCGAATTTCCGGCGGCCGAATATGACCCGTGCTGCAAAGTTTAGAATTTTTTGGAGTCGGTCGAAGTTTTTCTGGGAGCCATTTCCATATACAGTGAGGCAGTACTGGACGCGCGAGATGACGAGTGCAGTCACGATCGTTTTGAGGATACCGTCTGGGAGGCAGTGCCGTGCGTGGGAGAGGCCGATCAGTACGCCCATGCAGCGACGGCTCAGCTCGGCCACGTGTGCTTCCCAGGTGAGTGCGCCGTCGAATACAACACCCAGGTTTCCCACCTGCGCGCACGGCAGGAGCTCAGCGTCACGGAAAGAGATTTTGAAGCGAGGCAGGTTACGTAGGTTTTGTCGGCTACCGAATACCATCAGTTGAGTTTTAGAAGCGTTGACTTTCAGGGCGTGTGCGCAGAACCATGCGTTAAGTGACTCTAGCGATGCCTCCATGCGCGAGATGAGACTCCTGATGTCGTTGCGTGGGCCGCTCACCAATATCTGGGTGTCGTCTGCGTACTGATAAGCGGTGGCGTCTCCGGCAAATAGTGAGAGGTCGTTGGAGAATATAGTGAAGAGGAGGGGACCCAAAGCCGAACCCTGGAAAACTCCTACGGTGTTTGGGAGCGGTCGAGAGGTTATCTTACGGCCGGTTTTGTCTTTCAGGGATACACTCTGCGTGTGTCCCTGAAGATAAGCGGAAAACCAGGAGGTCTCAATACCGTAGATTTGGAGCTTTTTGACAAGGAGTTCATGGTCAATGACGTCAAAACATTTGCTAAGGTCTATGAGGCATAGCATTGAGATCTCACCCCTATCGGTGGCGGCAAGGATGCTATCTGTGACTGACAGCAGTGCAGTCTCAGTGGAGTGTCGGGGGCGGAATCCGTGTTGGGTAGACGAAAGAAGGTGGTTATGGGTGAGATAGTGATAGAGCTGCTGATGGATTACACGCTCGATGATTTTCATGATTACGGGAACTAGGGAGATCGGTCTGAAATTGCTGGGGTCAGATGGGTTGCCAGACTTGAAGATCGGTTGAACGATAGAGTGTTTCCAGGGGTCAGGAATGTCGGAACGGGTGATTGAGACGTTAATGATGTGTAAAATGATGTCGCCAATAGTTTGGAAGCATACTTTTAACATGCGGATGCATATACCGTCAGTGCCACGTGCGGCTGAGTTTCGCATGCTGAACACTGTGAGTCCGAGTTCCCCGAGAGTGATGGCCCTCGGCCTAAAGCTGCATGCGCCGACACGGGGTAGACGTACATTTAGATCAGTATTGTTGTTTTGGGTACTCAGTTCGGCGGCAATGCGGGGCCCGACAGAGACGAAGAAGGAGTTCAGATCGTCGGGAGATAGATCGGGCTGAATATTTGGACCATCTTTCTTTCCAGCGATCACTGATTTGATGCTTTGCCAGACTTTGTTTACCCCACGCTCGCTGATCTCGTTTTGGAGGACGTGACGGCGGTCCCGGCGTAAGGCGGCACGGACGGAGCGGTTAAGAGCCTTGTACTCGGGAGACTCGCGGCCTAGCCGACGTAACGCGGAGCGACGCCTGGACATAATGTCGCGGGTGGCGGCAGATACAGGGGGCGCTGTAGGATTTCTTATCAGCACATTTTTGAGGGGGGCATGGTCGTCGAAGACAGGTAGAAAGTTGTCTAGAAAGACCTGCCACTTGTCAGCAACAGACGTCGAGTTATAAACTTCCTGCCAATCGACACGCAGCAGCTCTTGGTTGATAGAGTGAACGTCCACTTGGTTAAGTGATCTAGATTGGATGACAGTTGGTTTTAGGCGCTGCTTAGGCACGTCGACGGTCACGTGGATGAGTTTGTGTGGGCTGAAATGGCAATGGACTACGCTATAAGAACGCACAAATTTTCGGTTTTGTACAATACACACGTCCAAGAGAGAACCGGTAGTGAATGTTGATGTTGTCACGAGTTGATCCAGGGAGTAGTCAGAGAGGAACTCGCTGATGTGTTGACGGGCGGGAGAGCTGGCGCTCTTTAACAAGTCACAATTCAGATCGCCGCATATAACAAACGGGACGTTGGGGTGGTCGATAAGGACACGCTGAAGCTGGGTTTCCAAGTCTGTAAAATCCGCACGCAGTGCGGTCGCGGAATAACGCGGCGGTCGGTACACCGAGCAGACAATCAGATTGCGATTTTTTGGTAATTTCAACAATGCCCACTGCGATTCCAGAAGACTGTCCGGGCACTGCGAGCTTGGTGGCTTCAGTGCTACAGGCGTAAGGTCCGCTTTGGTGATGATGGCGACGCCGCCAAAGCCTCGGCCGTCAGGTCGGTCTACCCGGCTGATGGAGTAGCCAGGGATGACCAGGAGGCGATTGGGTGTGCTCGGTCGTAGCCAAGTTTCAGACAGGAGCATGACGTCGAGATCTTGGCGGTTAAGTTCGTCCGACAGCTCCAGCAGTTTGGGCTTGAGGCTCTGGACATTGAGGGCTCCGATTTGCAGTCCGGTGCCGGAACGATGAGCGGTGGGCGCGGTGGCGGTGCGGCAGCCGCCCCGCCCCCTCCGTCCGCGCGCTCCGCGGCGCTGCGGCCGCCGGCCGCCGCCTCGGGCCGACCTAGGGGCGCCGGTAGCTGGTGCGGCGGGTTGACCGGCTGGAGTGGGTGCGGAGGCGAGGGCGGTGGGGAGCAGGGCGTGAGGCTCGGGCGATCCGCCGGTGGGCGGCGGTTGTGGACGGCGTCCGTCGCTGCGGGCCGGCTTGTGGCGCGGGGAGCCTCTGATGGGCGGGGCCTGGGCCACCGGCGGCGCGCCGTGGGACGCGGGCAGCGCGAGCGGCCGCTCTCCACCCCCTCGGGCCGGCGGGGCTCTCAGCTGGAGGGGAGGGTGAGGCGACACGGCCGCCAGCTGGCGTCCGTGGGGCTCGGCGCGCGGCGCGGGACTGCGGGCCGTCGTCCCCGAGGCTCGGGAAGATTTGAAAACCGGCAGCCGTTGGGTGGCTAGAGCTGGGGCCGAGTCACAAGTAGAGTTAGATGAATTCCGAGAAAAATTGCGTGGGAAAGCAGGTTTTCTTACGGTGAGGTGGTGCCTGAGATGGTGATCGGCAACTCGGAGAGTGGACCTGGGTGGCGGCGCTGGTGCCGGGCAGGCCACGACGGTCAGTACCCGCACTACGGCGAGCAGAACCAGGAGCCGGGCGATATCACGGTGCATGTTGAGGCGAAAGGGGTATTGGCCACGACGAGATCTTGAAGAGGTGCAAACGACGTATCCAAGTAGAAAGACTGTTCAAGTAGCACAAATCCACACTCACACTCACACTAACACACGGAGTAGGCAGAAGGGGGTAACGGGGAGGAGTGAGCAGCGCTCGCGTCCGCTCACGGCGGCGCGCTCAGCTGAACTGAACTGAGCGCAGCTGAACTACAGCATCAACTGTCATTACGGCTACTGCTATGCTGACGATTTCATCAATTATCTCAGCTGGTATGAGCAAGGAAATGCATCCGCTACAAACGATATCTGTATTGACCGTCGATTGCAATTACGTGCGTAATGCATAGCATCTTCCTCGTACATATATCTGCCGTAAATCACCCCACCAATCCCATCTCCCTTTCCCGCCCCATTCTTACCTTCATTTCCACCAGGTAGGACATTCCTCGTGAGATTTGCCACGCATAGCTGATAAGTTCTTTGGGTGTGATGGCACACGCGCTGTCTGTGTCACCTGACGCTAGCGTAGACTTACGGCTGTTACACAGGTATGTCCTGAAATAGAGCAGCACAGCGTCCTGCGTCAGATCGAGACCTTGCGTGGCAGAGCAGGTATACTTTAGTGGGTGGGTAACAAATATAATCTTGGAAACGTATGAAGCAGCCGAGTTAAAGCGCCTGAAGCACTGTGCACGTGTGCACGTGTATTGATCTTGATCAGTGCCAAATGTATAGTTTGGAGAAAATCGAAATCAGCTGCGAGAATAATGATCTCGGGTATAAATGATAACAATAACACGTCAAATGTATATTTAAACACACAAAGCTTTCGGTATGAAAATACCTTGATCACTGTGTTAACAGAAAATCAAGGTTATTGTTATTTAAATCAAGGTTAAAATCAAGGTTTCTGTTAACACAGTGATCAAGGTATTTTCATACCGAAAGCTTTGTGTGTTTAAATATACATAGTGACGTGTTATTGTTATCATTTATCCTAACTGTCTTGGATATTCTACAAATCTCGGGTATATTTAAAAGAGTATATAAAGGCATGCGCATCAATAGCGGTTGCGCTTTTAAATGTGTTTCTCAGCCGTTTGCCAGACTACAGCTAGCGACAATTTACCAAGATTCCTTTACTACTCAGGTCGGTTCACTAGGGAAATAAAGGCGCCGTGGTGACGTCATCAAAGGAAATCCTTCACGTTCAAATAAATGGGTCATTTGAATTGCTGATTTTGGCTCGATATAGTCCGATTTTTTTTAGTTTCAGCCCCAGTTATCGTAATGAGGCGAACTCATTGTTACATTGGTACAACTTTTGAGGACACATAATCTTTGTTTTTTTATCCAGCTCGCTCGAAAGATGATGAAATTGGCATGCATGCCTATGGGTGAAGGGAGATTCTACCGCCGCGGTGACGTCACGGTAAAGGGATTCTGGAGCTCGTGAACGGGGGCTGCTATTTACCGTCTAAATGAAGCCGAACAGACACCTAAATCATTGCAATGGGTTCATAACCGTAACCATAACAATAATCTATGATGGTTCATTGGCAGTGGACGCCCACTCCTGATCTTCTCCTTATAGAGTGACGCACACAAAACGGGTCTCTTCATCGTTATACGAATTCCGATTTCATTTGTGATGCAAATTTCACAGAGGTAAGATAAAAGGATAGAGCTATTCATAAGGGATGTTAATTACTCAATAAATCATGTCTGACGTCATACACTAAGCTCTAGTTTCTCATTCAAATGAATAAATGATTTAGGGAAGAAACGGCATTGTTGAGCTCTTTTACCCACAAGACGTTTCAAACTATTTAAAGAGTGGAATTCATTTCGAATATGATACTGCAATGTCATAACAAGAAACTTAATAACTAAAACCACTCCTTAGCTACCGAGTATAACCGCCTTCAACACACTTTTTAAACCGTCGCTACTGAATTATAACCATCCTGCTGTGTGCCTTGAGGGCGTACTTGCGTATTCAAATAAGAATTCAGCTTTCAATGTTTTCATGGGACAAAGAGCATTATTGAAGCTCAGAGCGGAATAAATGCAGTTCAAGACTAACGTCCTGTATGTAAACACCGCTACTTCATTACGCCTTAGAAAGATCTTTGTAAGAAACCGCCTTTTACAGTCCGCTTTGCACTAGTTTATACCGTTCTGGTAAATACCGAGCTAGCGCTTTTTGTTCGTAGAAACTGAATGAATAAAACATTAGTTTGCAATTTACATTATAAATAGGGAATTTTTAATGCTTTATTACGCCTTTTGCACGATTCAGAGAGCGAAGCGCCTAAGCAGCGTTACCTCGGATATTTTATGCTATCACTAACTTTTCAACCAGACTCGCCTTGTTCAATGTGGACGAACCCTTGTTCAGTTCACAGTCGAATAGTCAACAATGCAAATCGCAATGGCAATGTGCATAATAATCTTATGCACTAAGCAGCATTGTTTTCATGCAAACCCTAACACGGTTACCAGGACCTATGTTCAATACACACAATAAAGTCCGGAAAGTAGCAATAATTCATAAATTAACTGGCATTGCAGGTGCACCAATTTGTTAGTCCAAAAGCTGCTTCACCCATTCAGGCTCATTTCGAGCAGTTAAAGCATTGAAGCATACAAGCTAGTGGCAGCTTTCTCGACCCGGTGTCTTCCGGGAACCCTAAACGAGAACCACCACATTATAGGTAAGTAAGTACACATAGCATTACATCCAACCGTCACTATTCTTCTTTTTATCCCACACCTCAACCTTTCCCCAACCCACCTCAGACAGCCGAGCTCTGCAAACTCCATGATGATGCAGACGGGTCCTCCTGGCCCCGTGCACGCCCCCAGCAGCCGGATCACGTTAGGATGGTTGACCTCCTTCAGCAGATTGTACTCCGACAGCAGGTCCTGCAGCTCGGCAGTGGTGCTGGAGGGCTTCAGCATCTTCACCGCTACCTGGCGGCAACCTGATGGGGCAGGGGAAGGAGTGGTGAGATGGGTGGATTTATTTTCCTCAGGAACTGATGAGGGAAGGAAGAAGTGACTAGTGAGAGAACTACACAGTAAAACGGTTATTGTGAAGACATGTAGGACTGCGTGGAAAGTTCATAAACAAGGAAGAACGCATTACGCAGATATTTATTGCGGGGTAAAAGAAAAAGAAGTAATAGACGAATACAACGACAATACGACACTGGCACGAGCCACGAGACACGCCAAACTTATGCATGTTTTTGGAAACAACACTCTACCTACAGGCTCCAAAATACACATTTACATAAACCCACGACGCATGCCAGCCAGACTCGCTCCAAACCAAGCAGACCAATCCAAATCCTGGACAAGCCACCTGCCTCGTTTCCCGCCATTTCTGTCAACACATAAGAGAGTAGCGGTGGTGGGAAGCCGGGGAACACCCTGTGGCAGCTGTCAGCTGACAGGTGACAGCCCACGACTGTCCAGGTGACAGGCGGCTGTGGCGGATCAACCTCTCAACACCCGCGGCCAAAACCAGCGACTGCCGAGCCCTGAGCTGACAGGTCACAGCCCCTGAGCTGACGGGGCGTCGGGAGTTACGAAACGCCAACAGAGGTGCAGGAGGTGTGTGGAGGGGGCCAACATAAGCGTTGGGGTTGCTGAAATTCCTGGATAAGGATTGGTGGGTCTGCTAATGATGGTCAGAAACGGGGAGGAGGAGGGTGGGAAGAAAGGATAAGGGGCGATGGAAGGGAGAGAGAAGGGAGATAGAAGGGGGAGAGAGAGAGAGAGAGAGAGAGAGAGAGAGAGAGAGAGAGAGAGAGAGAGAGAGAGAGAGAGAGAGAGAGAGAGAGAGAGAGAGAGGCTGGAGAGGCAGAAGCGAGAGGAAAGAAAAAAGAAAAAAAAAAGGTGGGAGCATAGATCATGACATGGGGAAAAAGAACAAAAAAAAAAGTTAAAGACGTTAACAGATTCTTTAAATATTTTAGCTTCTACGACAGAAGGTGTCATCTCTACAATCCACGACGCAGCTAGACGCCAGCCGAGGACAGCAAGCCGTGTCCATGTGATAACGCAGCTCGCCAGCTGCGCCACGGTCTCATTGGCCCATTGGCGCTGTCGGTTCTGACGTCACACCCTCAAAAGTGGTCTCGTTACGTAGCACGGCACTGCGCTGTTCGCTAGAGCGGCCCTCGTCCGTCTCCCAAACTGTCCAGCACGGCACGGTCGGCCATTTTCGAGACTGTCCAACGGCAGATGACTCGTTTTGAATGCGTCTTCTTGTCTTCGCCTGTATTCAATCTCTCGGTTAGACGGCACCGTGACACCACACTGCACGAGGATGGATAAGAAAGGCGGCTCGGTGGTTGGCCATTTTCCAGCGGCCTCCAAGGTCTCAGAATAAATTTGACACTACAAATACTTTGAAATGTAAATTCAGCTTCCGGCTGGCGACATATCAATGGGGAGGGGCTGAGATAGGCCCGACATGAGAGGCAATCCAGGCCCGATTCAGAGTAAAACGGCTGGGCGGAATGATGGTGGACTACGATCGCCGCAGATAAGTGAAAGATCATTGCAGTGAGTGAGGAGGCTCCTTCATTCACCCGTAGCTTTTCGGATTTATTTCGTATTCTAAGTCGACAGAAATACTGCATTAGAGCATATGAGTTTGTTCTGAGGTTTTGATCCGGGAGGAATCAGACTGGTCCCAGCGTCTAATGTCTTGTAAAACGGTGAGCTGCTTATCCGTCTACAAACGCCATGCTAGGCTAACCGGAAAGATTATTTTCTATTTTTAGACTTCTTTAGTCGCTCGATTTTCAAACCTTAAAGAGGCCGTTGAAACGTTTGTTGCTGGCTTTTAAGATAGCGATTCAGTAACTGCCTCGATGCATGCAAGATATTTCAGAAAGATAGCGTTAGTCATTCGAAGTTACTTCGTAGCATGCAAGTAATTTGAGAATGATAGTGCTACATCACTGGTATTGTCATAATTCATTGAACCTTTCCAGCGATTAGAGAACACTTTACCCTTACAACTTTATACCCCGACCCAAGAAACATAAAGCTAGCATTCCCTACAATACGAGTACATATCTGTTGCATTTGACTCAGGCCACATTTGACTCAGGCCACATTTGACTCAGGCCACATTTGACTCAAGCCATATTTACCAAGCATTTCTTCAGGCACTGAAACATCAACTCACCGGAATCGCCTGCGATGCCCATGGCCTGTCCTTTGAGCACCTTCCCGAACTCGCCCTCTCCGAGGAGTTCTCCCAGCACGAGCCTGCGCCGTGGAAACTCCCATTTATCGTCCACCTGTGAACACACGGACGAAAAGGGGGCGGTCAGAATAGTGTATTGTTTGGTTGATGCATGTGTTACAGTGGGATGTAGGTATGTGTATGTGTTACAGTGTGATATACATAGGTGTTACAAAGCTGGTGAAAGAGTTGCATCCGCCGAAAAGCTATCGTCACAATAAGCTAGTAAACTAGATCGTAAAATCACCAGCTTGCACCCAAGTAATTAATCAACCAAAAGGATACCGGACTAAATAGGCGCACAATTTATGCGATCAAATCAGTCTCGTGTCAATGCAGTCGGTATTTAGCACATTTATCCGTCTCGAACGGTGTGCGGGCTAAATCATTCCGCTCAATATTTCGGCAAATCCATAAACTGCGCCATAAACACTGGCAGTGGCGCCGCTAATCTCGGTTAAATTAACAAATTATTAACCATTAGAACAGCTGAAGTCGTCTCATAAATAGGAGATTATAACCCAGCCAGGTCTCTCGTTATATGTAGTACCGAGGGAGCCCCAACTTCTGATGAACTTTTAATGAGACGCCAGCCCACAACGCCGCCACCAAAAAGCTAAATCAGGCTATATGTGCCACTTTACAGAGCGCCACCGATGCATATCTTTCCGTTCTTTAATGCACATCGCTAGCCTTATTAGGGAAGAGACGTCGGTTGCCATGACGACGCCATAACAGGCCTCGGCACGTGCCACATCGCCAAACAGACCGTCACCAGGCGGGCCTTCAACGGCGCATCTATTATTCACACCGGTATCAACTACCTGTGTCGACTTTCGTGACGACGGGTCGGAACTCTGCAGCCTTTCAGGGCGACCTCGTCTGTTTGAAAAACGATTTGGAGGCGGCGACCGTGACTGAACTGAGGATTTTCGTGAGTCACGGTATCATAAGAGACAAATGGCGTGAGACAACTAGCGTGAGACAGCTCTGGTTAGTGAGACAGCGCGTGAGACAGCTCGTGAGGCAGCTCGTGAGACAGTTCACGGTGCAGCTGGATTGAGCGGCCAGCTGGGTCGGTTTCCGGCGGAAGCTGGCTCGGAGTGAGGCGCTGCTCGGCTGATCTTTCTGGGTAAGCAACCCGGACCGGAGTGTCGGCCTCTCCGCTGCACGGTCTGAGGTCAACCGGGCTCCCCAGCCAGCCCGAGCCGAGATTTGGTAGTCAAACGATCTAACGCTATTTCAGGCACCAGCGATCAAGTATCGGAGCTATAAGGAGTTGATTGTAAGGTGACGAAATTGGGGACAAATTGCACCAGCAGGCGCGTGCAAAAATAGATACCGTGTCTCCTCCTTCTGATGGAAGCGTCTCGAGCCGAAGTTCAAAGCAGACGACTGTGATGAGCAAGTTTGCGCTAACTTTGAAGCCAGACGAGGTATTAAGCAGCGATGAGGTGCCGAATGATTGGGCACGTGAGTTGGGTTGGGTGGCAGTGAAATTTCAAAATAGTGTTATTTTTAGTTGTTTTTTTATAGTAAGTACGCTTTGATATGCTGAACAGCCGGTATCGCACAAAGAAACCACAATTATGCAGATACCCAAAGCGCGTGCTGAATGTGTCTTTGTTGCAGAGCTTCTTCTTGTACTAAATTAGTTTGACAATCATATTTATCACTTTTTACAAATACAGAAGGTAAAGTAAAATGATGTAAAGTTAGAGCGTTTTATACGGAAAGCGATTTACCTGTCCAACTAACCCCATCGCTCTGCTCAATCATTGCATCATGCTTTTCACGTAATAATAACCCTGTTATCGTTAAACTTTGTACATCGCTAACTTCTTCTCATCAAACCCCAAACTATACCCCGACCGGCCGGATTCAAAGTTTGACCCGACTGCCGCCTGGGATCCTTTATCTACATCAGTGATCAATCGGGACAATCGCGAAATTAACTGAAGACGCTGCGAATTGCACAGACCAACGTCAGTGCTTCACGAACTGCAGCGGCGTAGGGCAGGATAATTTTGAGAGTGGCCTGAAATGGGGAACCGAGGACACCAGCAGAAATATTGGTCGGATTAGACCAATATTTGTCTCCTTATGTCTGTTTGTCTCCTTATGTCTGTTTGTCTCTTTATGTTTACGCTCTCACTGTCTATCTGCCCGTATGTGTGTCCGGACACTGAGAGTCAAAATACTTGAAAAATAATGGAGTGAACTGACACGATTGTGACGTAAAACGTACCCACACACACCGGGCTACAGCCACCTTTACAATATTATCAGTGGTTGCGTCCGCCGTCCAGAAAAAGTGCAGCCACTACATCTTTACAGTTGTCACGTTACATAAACCGGGTGTCATGTTTCGCCAACCAATCCGAGTGGAATTGGTTCACAACTCAGCCTTAGCCGTATAGCGGCGGCAGATTTATTTTCTGCACAAGATTCTGTTCGGCACAGAAGGAAACGTCTCGATCGCCACAATATTTCGTATCACAAATGTTTGTTGAACGCTTCCTATGAAAAGGAAAAGTGTTCTGTCAGCGATTCCAGGCCAATATTTTTTATTATTTTATTTCCTGTTATTGAACTTCAATTGATCAAGGCAAGAACTTGTTCAACGCAAACTACTACCAGACGACCATGGTCGTCACTCAGTGGGTCAGTGGGTCTGCAGACCCATGCATCATGACCGCTACTCATAAGTTATCATTCAATTACAGATACACATGTAACACACCTGATACACAAATACAGATGCATTGATACAAACCTGCTCACAGACAAACTACACCCAACGACCGACGACCAATCCCGACATAGCCCCTGCCATGACACCCTGACATACAGCTGCACACTGACTATAATCACTTCTTGAATTCAGTCTAGAACTCAGCAGCAAAGGTCAAGGTCACACGCCTAGCTCGGCAGCAAAGGTCAAGGTCACGCAATCAATAGTGACCCGGAACGGCGTGTATTGGAGTGTCAGGTGCAATCAGTTTCTAACAATCAGTCTATTGCACCCAGCGGTAACACTTAAAGTTCCGTCCGACGATTCAAAGGTTAGTATAGCGTCAATGAATGCTGAACATTGGCGGGTTGGTCGAACTGGGTTTCGGACATTGTCACTGTCAGCGGTTTTCATTGCAGAGTTACGGGCGTCTCGGAAGTTGAGAAACTTATAAATCGGAGCACCAGCGCTAGGCAACAACTCAACCCAGAAACACATCCTTCCAAGCCGCTGAGGTAGAAACACAAATATTCAAATCACCATCTCTCCGACAAATCGGATGCATTTTGTTATTTTCATCTAAGCAACTCCAAAACCGCTGGCAACAAACCACTTCCTCAATCTTGACGTTCCGTCCATAATTCATAGCACCCCTGGCGCGTGCCTAAGTGGATTTCGCTCCACCACTTGTGACGTCCAAATCGCTCCAAGGCCGTCCGCCTAACAACAGCAGAATGTCGTGGTCTACCGTCATAAAACAGGCCCTGCAAATCGTCGGCCCCGCCACCACCACCAGCTAGGTGATGGCGGTGGCAGGCGTCTTGCACCGCGAAACCTTTAGCATACAACGCCCAAATCAATACCTGTGGCCCGCTGAGCGCTAGGGCGGACCCACGGCCCTTTGGAGGCCCGTGTCCTTCCAGCAGATACATACTGGGTGTCTGCTATTGCATCCAAACATACTTATTCACTGTGACAAAAAGGTAAACGTTGCGGTATCTGATAGCCGTCAAAAAAGATATTTCATATTTCTAGATAAATCCATGATATGGCTGGTACCGGATAAGCTGAAGAGGACAATGTTTCAAAGAGAACATTTTTAGTTTACTCGTATGCATACGAGTATGCATACGCTACATGTAGCTGCAGCAGTTAAGACGTTTACCTTCTCCATAGCTCACAAGGGAAGTATTTGAGAAAGCGTGGACAGAAAGCAGCTTCTGCCTGTTTGCTGAATGGAAAAGCCTCCTGTCATACCTGAAACCGAGACTTTCAACCTACATAGGAAGGAAGTTAGCACCGCATCAGAACGTAGCATCACGTCAGGTCTAAGTTCCTGGCGTCAAGTTAGGTTCAGTTCGCTAAGTTCGTCTCGGTTCAGTCCCCAGCTCGTGGAAACTAGACAACCATTGTCTAAGCTGACAAGAAGTGTGATGGCATCACTATCACGAGAATTTCCGGGGAAGTTAGCTCTGAGCTACATGAGCTAGCCAAGGGATGTGAGCTGCCCAGCCGAGCAGCTGTTAGCTCTCTGTGTTCGGTAGCTAGCCTCAGAGAGTTCGAGGTCCCTTCCAGCGCATATGTCTTCCTAGAAGCAACTGATGCCACGGAAGCCTGTCTTGAAGCGCTTGGGTGATTTCCAATTCACACAGAGTACAGAATCGCTGCCGAATCCTATGGAAACGGGCTTCAGAGTGACTCTAGCGCAGTCATCCGACCGACAGGACTGCCATCTCCAGCCTAATTTCGATGGATTAGGATGCGCTACCCACTAGCCGATACATTTAGCGAGCTATTTAATTAGGGGCGGTTTGGCGAGGCCCACAGTGTTCTAAGCTCATTACTCTCCAAAGTTCAATCGCCAGTTTCCGGAGACCCCAACACGTGCGGTTACATCTGGGCTGACTCGGCCTTAGCTGGTGCGGTTGGAAGCATAAACGCAAAGGGTGCACAGCGTAATTCTTTTTTCCAACCAAAGGAAGGCGCTATACGGAGAATATCCCATTGCGTCATAGAAAAGTGACTTACACCTCGATCCCATCAGCTGGCTGCGTGGCGTAGTGGTTAGCACACTCGCCTCATGTTCTGATAACTAGGGTTCGAATCCCGCTGCCGGCTGAATTTTTTGGCGTGTTGTAGGTTAGGTTGTAGGTTTGTAGGTTGTAGGTTTGTAGGTTAGGTTGTAGGTTTGTAGGTTGTAGGTTTGTAGGTTAGGTTGTAGGTTTGTAGGTTGTAGGTTAGGTCAGGTTAGGTTAGGTTATGTTAGTTTTTGTTTGGTTTGGTTACAAAGAAGCATCTTCGGGTACAGCGCCTTCCTTTGG